TATATATATTGGGTCAAACCTTTGATAGTTAATTTTATTTTTGATTTACTGGACATTGGGAGAATTCAAGATGCAGGGTATCTTAACACTCAAAGTTAAGATTCACTCAGCTATACCTTAACTATGTTTAGCTCACAACATGTAAAATGAACACTTATTTATTTTATTTATTTATTTACTGTTATTTTTCCAGGCAAATCCCATTGAGATCTCAGATCTCTTTTTCAAGGGCGGCCTGGGCCTGAAGGCAACCTATTGTACATGTTCTTGTAGCCACTTTTGTTCCACATGTCAGTTGGTTGTGATAACCATCTTGAATCACAATGAGTCCCAAAATTAATAAGTTGTAAATGCACACCTGCCTATTCCTTTCTGAAAATTGTATAAYGTGTATCCAGTGATTCACGAGTTATTTTGCTGAAAGATAAGAGTTTATTCTGATAATTAAGGCCAAAGTTTAAAACACAAAACTTGTGCAAATAGCACAGTTAGCATGAGTATAAGTTTGATTATACGGCAGCACTACATTTGATCTTAGTATCTTTCAAAACTTCTGACATATAAAACATTTTTGTGACTCCAAAACTGACTACCTACATAGTAAAACTGGTCAGGCTCAGTTCTGGCCCACATACGTATTCATACACGAGCATTAACACTTRACCCAAATACCACAAAGGATGGCAGCCATTTGATGGCCTATGATGCATGGACCATCACCACATAAACCAAAAGAAAAAACAACTGGGCCAGTTCTGGAATGCTATCATAGAAACAGTGCCGTCATAGCCAGACCTGGCCCACATCCAGTTGACAAACCACTTGCCATGCCAGAACTTGACACCAGATCTGGTCCACACCTTGTCGGCTAGGAGGGTACTTTTAGAAAATTTCAAAAAAATCTGWTCAGTGATTTATGAGATAGTTGTGTAACACTACAGAGACACATACAAACACACACAGACAAAAAAAAAAGGCAGTTTCTTAAGGTATTTCTGCAAATGCCCCATTATGAGGAATTGTTTACCCAATTTTACAAAATGATCCAGACCTTACCCTGACTTTTGTAGCACATTTTAAGTAAAAAAGAAAGTCAAACACCCACTTCTTCATTTTTTTCTTCTTCTTCATTTTTTAAGATCATAGCCTGTTGTCAAGATGTGATTCTTGCACTGAAATCTGTCACAAGAAAGTTAACTAAAGTATTCTTAAATTTGACAACCAAAATATGAAAGTCTATTTAAAAATAAATTTTGACCAATAGGAATTGTTCTTTTTTTTTCCTCCAGTAGTTTCAAAGATATGTTTAAGAGCTTTACAAAAAAATAAAAAAAGAAAAAAAGAAACATTAGGTTTACTTCTCACATTGACGGTATGCTGCTTCGTTCCCAGGTTACCAGGGTAACGAGTTATTCACATGGTGAAAAAAAAATACAACAAAACAAAACAAAACACTGGAAATGTTTATCACCTTAATCAAGCATATTATTTTTTTTCTTTTCCCTCTAAATGTTGGTGTTGTTTACAAATCATGAAACCACCCTGCTGTGCGACAGCCAATCTGCCACTGAATGGGGTAAAAAAAATTGCTTTAATACAGCGGTGCACACGCTTAAACACAAACTTGGTTTTTTTCCTGAAATCAAGCTCCACTGGTTTGGCTTTAGAGAATAAAACAAAACTTGTGAAGACTTTTGAAGTCAAAAGACATTTGCCTCTAAATATCTCTCCTTGTTTTGTTATCAAGACACAACATTAGCAACCAGTGGACTTATCAGAAATAGCTACTCAGAGCTACTGATCTGCTCCAGTGGGTCAAATCTGAACATTTACAAAAACACACTTGCATAACACCCTGACACTGTTGGAGGTTATTAAAGTGAGGAAAATAAGGGAGTTTCCACCAGACAGAGACAATTATGCTGTTGGATAGAAGCTTGTTTCCATTAACCTGTACATACAGAGGTGAGGTGCACACACACACACACACACACACACACACACACACACACACACACAC